GGCTCCATCCCAGGACCCTGGGATCATGACCTGAGCCGAAGGCAGACACTTAACGACTGAGCCACCCAGGTGCCCCTAAAGGTGTCTATTCTTGTGGTGGTACTCAGAGGAATGGATTTCTTTCACATCATATTTGCATAACATTTTATAGTTTTGTAACAGCATTTGGCTTTTGGTCTACAGCAGTTGCCCGACTTTTGATCTTAGACACCTACACTCTTAAAAATTACTGCGAACCCCAAAGAGCTTTGATGTGAGTTATAACTATCAATATTTACTCAATTGGGAAATTAAAATTGAGATTTTTTTTAGCACAAGAAATATACAAGCACACATTCTTTCAGCCATCATTGCGATGGCGTCACCATACGTCATGTGCGTACATTACAGAGCGAAAGAGAATGAAAAACGGAGGGACGTCTTTATATTCTTAGAAAATAGTTTTGACATTAGCCGACATCGCACTCCCTTTCATCCCAGGCATCCCAGGATCACACTTTGATAACCAGTTTGTCACAAGTGTTTGCCGTCCTCAGAGTTAGGGCTTAAGGCTGCCCCGCACCCAGCAAGGAGGCGAACTCCGGGGCCACCAGCAAAAGACCCGCCGGGCCTGACCCGCTCCCGGAAGCCAGAGCTGCGCGCGCACCGCGAGCCTCCGACTTCCCGGCGTGCCCCTGGCCTGCGGCGTAAATGCACGCTGGTCCTAGCGACCCACGTGACCCGCGGGGAGGCCGCGGCGGGAATCTGTGAGTGCACCCTGTTGCGGGGTCCTTGGGCCTGCGTTTCGTGTCTACCGCGGGCGGCCCCGGCCCGGCCCACCTCCGCTCTCGCTCGTCAGGCGGGAAGGAAGCCGGTGTGGGAGGAAGAGTTCCAGCCAGAGCCTTCGCTCCTGCCTGGAGCCTCCCATTTCGGAGACTCGCGGGTCCTCATGGCCGGTGCTCGCCCTGCTCCGGCGTCACAGCTAAGTCTTGGTGGGACGGGGCTTTAGGCTCCAGGTGTTGAGAAAAGAAACATTTGCAAACATGTCCCGGATCGAAAAGATGAGCATTTTGGGCGTGCGGAGTTTTGGAATAGAGGACAAAGATAAGCAAATTATCACTTTTTTCAGCCCCCTCACAATTTTGGTTGGACCCAATGGGGCGGGGAAGACGGTAAGTCCTTAGGAGCCCCCTTCAGTTTACGGGCCGCCGCATCTTGCGAACTGGAGAATGAAATATCTGGGGAGCGCAGAATAATGATAAGGACGAGAGGGGAGGCGTTCCTGTGGCTCAGCTTTCGGGCCCCCAGGAAGTGCGTGGGCTTCCGGGTGGGGCCCCGGCCCCTGGGCGTGGCCTGGTGTCGCCTGCAAGCCCCGGCGACCTTAGGAGGCGACCAGTCCCAGCCTCGTCAGGGTATCCAGGCTTGTTGGGTGGACAAGGTTTACTTGAGAATCCCGCTCGCTCACTCAGCGAGCTTACATTTTTGTACGAAGCCTTTTAGTCTGCACTGTTGTTTTGTTTTTTGTTTTTTTTTTAAGATTTTATTTATTTATTTGAGAGAGAGAGAGAGAGAATGAGAGACAGAGAGCAGGAGAGGGAAGAGGGCAGAGGGAGAAGCAGACCCCCTGCTGAGCAGGGAGCCCGATGTGGGACTCGATCCAGGGACTCCAGGATCATGACCTGAGCGGAAGGCAGTCGCTTAACCAACTGAGCCACCCAGGCGCCCTGCACTGTTGTTTTTTTAAACACTCTCCTTGCTCCCAAAACATAGCATTCACTTCCTGGCAGTTGTCCCATTATAGGAATTACTTAAAAAGTTATATGATAAACTAGGACCTTCTGAGAAGAGTTTAGGACTCTTACCTAGTCATAATAGAAAATTGGAGCACAGCTTATTTACTTTGACTTTTTAAGGCCCAGGGAATGTTTAGAAATTTGAGTTGGACCCTGGAGTGGCATGCAGTTACGGGAAGAGGATAGCCAAGAGACTGTCTACTCTTTTTTCTTTTTTTTTAAGATTTTATTTATTTATTTGACAGAGAGAGAACAAGTAGGCAGGGAGAGGGAGAAGCAGGCTCCCCGCTGAGCAGGGAGCCCGATGTGGAGCTGGATCCCAGGACCCTGGGATCATGACCTGAGCAGAATGCAGCGGCTTAACCGACTGAGCCACCCAGGTGCCCAAGAGACTGTCTACTCTTCAAGGGTGGCTTGAGAAAAAGCAGGGCGTTGTCTGTGTAACAGAGAAGACTAAACGAAGCAAAAAGGATACAGAAAGAGAGGTTTCGAGTTGAGCATTGAATGCCACACTCTTGTCTACTTGTGCTTATGTGAAAAAAGTTACTTATTGAATGCCTGTTGTGTACCTAGAATTGTATGAAGTGCTCTACTGGAAGGGAGACTGGCATAGTGTTTATGAACATTAGCTGTCCAAATACATATAATTTGCTTTACCTTTTATTAGCTTTGCAACTGGGCAAGAGTGAGCCAAATGCATTGTGCTTTAGTTTTCTCATAAAATGGAGATAAAGTTTTCTACAACCTAAGATTAATGTGAAAATTAAGTGTTAATGTATGTAAAGGTGGGTGGTTAGTAATATTGGCACATAGTAAGTCCTGTGTAATTATTAACCATTTTTTAAAATTTAACTTTAAAAAGTTTTGGCTTTATTGGGGTGTGATTTCATATATAAAATTATAGGATATTTAAAGTATATCGGGGTAATTTATTCTTATTTTCATTTTTCTTAAAGGTTTTATTTATTTGACAGAGAGGACACAGCAAGAGAGGGAATACAAGCAGGGGGAGTGGGAGAGGGAGAAGCAGGCTTCCCGCTGAGCAGGGAGCCCGATGTGGGACTCAATCCCAGG